GCATCAATTTGCATTAACGGGACATTTGTCCACAATTTTCTCAAGGAACCGTCTTGCTCTTACTTAGAGGAATTTTTTGGGCCTACCCAAGGCTATTTTCATCTATATGAATCCATGTAATTACAGGATCCAGATTCTAGTTATCCATATACTATCCACAGCCTAAATATTTTTTATTAACAAGAGGAAAATCTCCATTTTTGACTACGGATCACAAGATCAGATTTTTCTTTACATGAATACGATGACCTCTACTGGGATATTTACTTTATTAGATGTACTCATTATTCATTAATGGCTTATTTCATTTCACTAATATTTGTTATTTATTTTAGATTTAGCATAATAGTGCCATAAATAGAGATCAGCCTGTTAAAGCAATATCAGCCAATTGAGGCTGGCTATACACTGTCCAATCTTTCTTGTCCGCATACCACACATGATGATGATGAGATATAATGAAGGTAATTTTAGACTTTATTAGATCTTCCTCTTTAAAGTAATTTATTCATGATCAATGTATTGGATTCACTTTGATGACATATCTGTGAACATGGTGATTCTTCTTAGATTTATCATTCACTGCTCACATTGATTCCCTAGGATTTTTTTTCCACTTGCTACTTCTATATTCAACACTGATGATCACATGAGTGAAATGCAAAGAAGTATCCACCTAAAGTTATGTCATTTTTGTAAATCCGCAAAGAATCAAAATTGTGAAGATAGGATCACTCGGAACACTATGAAATTGGACTCTCCATACATTATCATCATCTTCTATATATGAAGAATATTTCTTATAAAAATAATGGTTTCCCAGCCATATATTTAACCACTTGCCCTCTAGAGGATTTACCCCCCTTAATGACCAGGCCTCTTTTTGCTACTCGGCACTGCACTAATTCAACTGATAATTGCGCAGTCATGCAATGTTGTACCCAAACAAAATTTTCGTCCAGAGTTTTTTTTTTCGCACAAAATAGAGCTTTCTTTTGGTGGTATTTTATCACTTGTGCACTTTTTATTTTTTGAGCTATAAACAAAAAAAATACTGAAAATTTTGAAGAAAAACTATATTTTTTACTTTCGGATATAAAAAAATATATAGTAAACGCAAAGTTTAGTTATAAATTTTGGCCTCATTTCTGTCAAAATGCCCAAAAAAACTAAAATTTCGTCATAATTTTAGGCCAAATTGTATACTCCATGTTTTTGGTTAAAAAAATCCCAATAAGTGTATATTGATTGCTTTGTGTGAACGTTATAGCGTCTACAAACTATGGTATAGATAATGGAATTTACACAGCATTTACTTTCTGACTGCCCATCACATTTCTTGAGGTGCTAAAATACCAGGATAGTACAAACACCCCCAAATGACCCGGTTTTGGAAAGTAGACACCCTAAGCTATCTGCTGAGAGCATATTGAGTCCATGGAAGATTTATTTTTTTTTCCACAAGTTTCTGGAAACTGACAAAAAAACTTTTTTTTTTACACAAAGTTGTCATTTAAATTATATATTTCCTGCACACGCCATGGGCATATGTGGAATTACACCCCAAAATACATTCTGCTACTTCTACTGAGTATGGGGATACCACATGTGTGAGACTTTTTGGGAGCCTAGCCACATACAGGAGCCTGAAATCCAATGACCACTTTGAAACTTTGATAGGTAATGAGTGAAATGAGGAAGTTACACACCTTCAGGCTTTCAAACGCCCTGAAATGCCAGGATAGCACCCACTCCCCCCCCACCCCCCCCCAAAATTACCCCTTTTTGCAAGTAGACACTCCAAGGAATTTAAAAAGAGGCATGGTGAGTGTTTTGCAGATCTCATTTTTTTTCTCACAAGGTTTGAAATATAAAAAAAAGAGAATGTTTTTTTTTTTTTTTTTCTTCAATTTTCAAAAACTTGTGGCAACAAATGAGATCTGCAAAATACTTAACATGCTTCTTATCAAATTCCTTGGCGTGTTTACTTTTCAAAAAGTGATCATTTGGGGGTTGGGGTTAGTGCTATCCTGGTATTTCAGGACCATCGAAACTGTGATAGGTAGTCAGGAAGTGTAATGAGGAAATAAAGCCCTTTAAAAAGCCTGATGGTGCTCTTTGGATTTTGGGGTCCTGTACTTGGCTAGACTGCCAAAAAGGCTCTCACATGTGGTACCCCCATACTCGGGGAGAAGTAGCAGAATGTATTTTTGGGTAGTAATTCCACATATATATGCCACATATATCATGGCATGTGTGAGAGAAATAAATCATTTAAGTTTTTTATATATTTTTTACACAAAATTTTTTGTCATTTTCCAAAAACTTGTAAAAAAAATCAATTCTATTGATTCAACATGCCTCTCAGCAAATAGCTTGGGGTGTCTACTTTCCAAAAAGGGGTCGTTTTGAGGGGTGGGGGAATTTTATGCCAGCATTAGAAGTTTATGCCACACATCATTCACTCTTCTAACCACCTGAAGATCAAGCCTTCTCTGACACTTTTTTTGTTCACATGCAAAAATCAGTATTTTTTGCTAGGAAATTAATTTAAACCCCAAACATTATATATTGTTTTTTTAAAGCAGACACCCTAGTGAATAAAATGGTGGGTGCTGCAATTTTTTGTCACATAGTACTCATGCAGCGATTTTTTTCAAACGCAATTTTTTTTTTAAAAATACACTTTTTTTACTTTTTAATACACAAAAACACAAAATGTTGGCCAATTATTTGGTAAATTATAAAAGATGATGGTATGCCGAGTAAATTGATACCAAAGATGACATGCTTTAAAACTGCTCCGTGCAATGGTGACAAACTGCATACATTTTTAATATGCATAGGCAACGTTTTAAAAGCCTTTGCAAGCTACCATTTTAGATTTACAGAGGTCTAGCGTTAGAATTACTGTCCTTGATCTGACGTTCGTGGCGATACCTCACATGCATGGTGCGGTTTCCATACTGGCATAGGGTCAACGCTCACGAATGCAGATGCGCGCTTGCGAGGGGGGGGCGAGGGTACTTTTTTTTTTTTTTCTATTATTATTATTATTTAACACTGTCCCCTTCATTTTTTTTTTTTTCACTTTTAATGCTATCACAGGGAATGCAAATATCCCCTATAACTTCAATGGGCATTGTCATATATTCTTTTTTCAGAAATCTGGGGTCTATCAGACTCTAGATATCTCCTCTGCCCTTACATTATCTAATCAAACCAAGATCGGTGTGATCAGATGCTTTCCCAATTTACAAATGGCGCTGTTTATATCCTCTGAAACTGAAGTGATGAAATGCTTGTTGCTTCCGATTTCTTAGATTATAGAGATATTTGGCACCATTCTGGTCTCCAATCAGCTCTATGTTCAGCTGGCAGACAAACCGGCTGCATTCTCAGGTTGCACCGATGGCACGGGACTGCCCAAGAAAGCCGTGGAAGGCAGTGGGGGAGGGGGGGGGGGCATCGTCTCCCACTACTTGTAAAAGCAATCCTGCGGCTAATTAACCACTAGGATTGCTTTTACATGAAAGGCGATTGCCAGCTGAAAGAAACGATACCAGGATGATGCCTGCAGCTGTAGGCATCATCCTGGTATAACCATTCAAAGTCCAGTGATGTACCAGTATGTCACTGGTCCTTGTTGGGTATACAGTAATACCTCGGATTATGAATTTAATTCCTTCTGCAGGACATTTCGTATAGCGAAGAATTCATAAACCGAAACACTGTTTCCCATAGGAATGCATTGAAAACCAATTAATCCGTTCCGAAGGTCAGAAAAACAGTAAATGCTACTAAAATACCGCATGAGTTATTTTATTAATGGTAGTGACAACCATGTGTTAATGTTTCAGCTGTCAGCGGGATTTCCCCACTGACAGCTGAATGTAAAAGAATTGCTGGCAAAAATTATTTTACACTCAGCTGTAAGGTGCCAGTTTTTAAATGTAATTACCGTTTTTTTTGTTTTTTTTTCTTCACTATACAGTAGTTCAGAAATTCATTTGTCACTTCCCCCTCCAGCTAAAAAGAAAGTTTCTTTTAGTTTATTTCCTCAAAAGAAACAATATTTCCTTTCAGTTTCTTAAAAGATGCAAAGTATCCTATAGCTTCCGGGAAACTGACAGCTAATGTTGTGAGCTGTGAAGAAAAAAAAAAAAAAGATGGTAATTGCATTTAAAAATCAGCACTGACATGCACTTCGTATTGTGAAAAAAATTTGTAAAAAATGTGTAAATTGAAAATTACATTAACAGAAGCATTCGTAAACCAGGTATTACTGTATATGCTATGTTTTTTTTTTTTTTTTTTTTTTTTTTTTTTTGTATGCAGCCTGTGGGCTGAATGAGAAAAAGAGAAGAAATCTCTGCCAGAAAAAGTGTGTGGTATGCCCATCATTGGAATATACCGCCCTGCATCCACCCACTTCTAATGGTGGGCACACGGTGCCACATGCTCCAGTTCCAAGATTGTACAAATGTCTAAATAGTGGCACACTTGAATAAAAATTGTCCATGTATAAGTGGTACCCCATATGGAAAGAGGATGACACCAAGTCCCAAACTATCTTGCCACTACTCCCCATGTAGTTGGGGGGCTCCACGTGACTATCTTTTCCCTCGTAAATCCGAAACTTATAAGTATAGCCTGTTGCCCTCTTACAGGTCTCCTACATCTTGATCCCATATCTGGCATGCTTGCAGGGGGGAGAAGTTGTTTTAATGCAAGGTGGCCAGAAAAATTAGTGAGGGACTCATCAACGCAGATTTTTTGCTGGGGAGTATAGACATCTGCAAATTTTTGGTTAAGGTGATTTGTGAGGGGCTGAATTTTGTGGAGCCGGTCAAATTCAGGGTCACCCCAAGGATGACAGAGTGTATTGTTGTTGAAATGCATAAAACTCATTATACTCTCATATCTATGCCTGGCCATGGCAGCGGAGAACACGGCATATGATGAATCGGGTCTGTGGACCAATACAACTGCAATTCATTTTTTTTTTAGTAATGCTCATGTTGAGGGTTAGGTCCAAATTTAAATTTAAATTTGGAAACCGTAATGAGTTTCCATGCGAATGGTCTGGCATGGTTTTATTCTGGGTTGGCGGCGATAAACTGTTGTGCATATAAATTGCTTTGATCCATAATCAATGCATACAGATCTTCTGTGAAAAACCGCTCCAAAAAATCAAGGGGAGTAGTTAAATTTGCGAATTCCACCTGAATTCCGGGTTGGCAGTGAATGGGGGAAGTATATGGTGCTGCAGAATTTGTGGGCTGCCAATCGGGATTTGCAAACACATCCGGAAGGATACTAGGGGCTCTACGGGCCTGTGTGCTAATTCTTGTTGGTTGCGGGACACTACTTGTGCTCCCCACCGCACCAGCTTGTACTGCACTTATGGGACTCGCCACGTCACCGAGTGATACTGCAGTGCTGGTATTATTATTATTTATACAGGATTTATATAGTGTCAACAGTTTGCTCAGCGCTGTACAATATAACGAGAGACAATACAGCAACAATATACAGTAGTTCAATACAAGAGGGTTAGGAGGGCCTGATCCTGGGAGCTTACAATCTAAGATGTATGTGAAAGACCAGGAAGTACTAGGCCACTAGTACTCGACAGTTCACCAAAAGGTAGCGTGGCACTAGTACTGGCACTCTGCTGCATATGAGAGTCATCACAATTTACCGGCAAGTGCGAACAGAGATCAGGCCTGATTCTGCCAACACTGCGGTTTGGTGTGCAATGTATCAAGGGACAGTGACCTACTGACACTGCACTTGCTGGGGGAGAAGGGGGGGGGGGTAAGCGTAGGGGCTAAACGCAGGTGCCGGGGCTGATCCTGCTAACTCTGCATTTTGGGGGATGCTATACTAATGTGAACGCTGGTATAGTGCTGATCTGATCAAACATATTTATCCGTTCAGACACTATACTAGCAATGGAGGTTTATTGTGTATGAGCATCTTCCTGGCAATTGAGGGGTTAAATGTGATGACTGGTGTACTGAGGGGGGGCTATCTGGGAGGGGCGTGAAAACCACGGGAGCGCAAATCAACTTGTGTGTGTGTGTGATTTTGCGCACCTGTGCCGCCCTGTAGCAGTATTTCTGCTATAGGGCGGTCAGGAAGCGGTTACATAAGTGGTTTGTGTTATGGCACTGCGTCATTTTAACTGACAATTGCGTGGTCATGCAATGCTGCACAAACATAAAATTTACATCCTTTTTTCCCCATGAATTGGGCTTTCTTTCGGTTATTTGATCGCCTGTGCAGTTTTTTATTTTTTGCGCTATAAACAAACCCGGCAATTTTGAGAAAAAAAAAAAACAATATTTTGGACTTTTTTCTATAAAACATGTCCAGTAAAAAAATTTTATAAATCAAATTTCGTCATGAATTTCAGCCAAAATGTATTCTGCGACATATCTTTGCTAAAAAAAAAATCCCAATACGTGTAAATTAATTTTTTTATTTTTTTTAAGTCCGCAAACGTGCAACTATAACAAAAAAAAACCCGTAAGTGTTCACAAAAAAGTGCAAGTGCAAAACACCACACAAAAAGTGCACTTAAGGGTGTGCTTTTGTCCTACCCCCGAAGGGGTTGGACTGCTACCCTGATCCCCCGGGGCACGAAGCTCCTGACAGGGACAAGGTTCCCATTTGGTCCTCCTGGCCTGGCAAAAGGCCTGGTGGACCACCGTTCCTTATGCCCAGCCGAAGCCGGACATCCAGTACTAGGCCAGGGGGTTCTCCCGAAGAGAAAAACCCCTAGGGACAGGGGAGGAAGGAACCGTAGGGCCACACATCCTCCCCCTAGACTTCAGGGCAGGCTCGAGCACCCACACCCTCCATCCTGTGAAAAAAACACACACAAAAGTAAAAAGTGACAAACGTGGGGTGAGGAAAATAAATAAATAAATAATTAAATAAATCTATAAAAATAACAAAAAGTGTCGTGCCCAAATTGTGCACTGACCAGACCCTGAGGCCTGTAGCAAAAAAATTGCCCAGAACTTGACCAAAAGGCCCGGTCCTAGAGGCGCAGTGCAAAAAAAGTGTTTAAACTCGGTGACCATGTGCTCATTCGCAACGTGGGGTCCCACACCCAAGTGCTACTCAGAGCACCCCTGAGGCGACTACTCAGGGGGCACCTAGTTTGCGGACTCTCTGCCTTCCCAGCCCCTGGCCAGACCAAGGTAGATCCGTCCAAATCAGGAGGTACTGGGTCTTTCCAGTCTTCTCGGAGGAATTACTCCCGGGGCCCCAGCATAACTCGTGGCGCTCCCCGGTTTCTGTCCCTCCGGTACTAGCCTTCCGGACCCCCATCATACCAGTGAGGGTACTATACAACAGCCATCCCCGCAAAGCTAGAATGGCCGGGAGCACCCCCACTGGACACTGATAAGAACAGATACTACACTTGATCTTAGCGAAAAGGCCGAGAAGCGATAATACGTGTAAATTAATTGGTTTACTTGAAAGTTATAGCGTTTACAAATGGCGGTGTATATACTGGATTTTTTTTTTTTTGTATATGAATAGCCGGGATCAGCGACTTATGGGGGGACTGCGGCAGACACTGGGGGGGGACTGACTTGGGGTCACCGACATCCCCAGTGACACCGATACAGTGATCACTACAAAAAACCCACTGACACTGTACTAATGGCACAAGGGAGGAAGGGGTTAACATTTTTTCGGCAATCAAAGGGTTACCTGTGTGAGGAGTGTTTTACTAGTGGGCGAGGGTGTGTGCTTCACTGTTGCAAGCTGTCCCAGAACGCTAAGCTCTGCTCTTCGGAACAGGGAGCTGGCAACTGACAGGGAGCAGAGCTACATTGAAAACAATGCAGCTGTGATCTGTGTCAGTGTTTGCCGGTAATTGCCGGGAGCCGACGGGATATCACTGGCCGGGACTTGGTGATTGACACCCATGGCCGCGATCAGTGCTGCGGGCAGGGCGGTCGCACGCCTTGCGTGTGCCCCCTAACATGTAAACAAGGATCATGCTTATATACGTGATCCTGCCTACAGGGTCCGCTTTGCCGCAGTATATGTACTGTGGGCGGTCCCCTAGTGGTTAATCTACATGATGCAGCTAAATGAATGCGCAGGACTTTTTTTGTTTTTATATTCACTGCTTTTAGTTTTCTGATTGACTGTGTGTTTACCATGTCATATGCCCACCCTTTTTCAGAAGATCTTAATAATCAAAATAAAGAAATGATTTGCATCTATTATTGATGTTTTGTTTACTCTGCATTGGATTTAAAATACCGCTCTTTTTTTTGCAGTTTTCTCTAGTCAGCTGTTAACTTTTTCTAATATGCTGTATTCGGTTAATAATCCACACCCCAAGATAGGGGGGAGTCAGAGAGACCCCTTTGATGGGTGGTTACACCCCAAATTAAGGCATTTTTTTCCCTTTGTTTATTCTTCTTGAAGGCTACATCACAGGTCAGGAGGTTAGATGCTCTATTTGTGCTGCCAGTGGGGCCTAGGAAGGAGCAGGCAGTACCCAAGGCAACTATTTCTTATTGGATCTGCCAATTGACCATTCAAGCCTATGGTTTGAAAGTAAAGTCCCACCTTTTTGGGTGAAGGCCCACTCCAGCAGTAGTGTGGGGTCATCTTGGCAATCCTGCCATCAGGTGCCAGTGGCTCAGGTTTGTAAGGCTGCTACATGGTCTTCGGTTCACACATACACAAGATTCTACCAGTTGGATGTCAGAGCCGCAGAGGATTCTGCCTTTGGCCGCAGTGTTTTACGGACAGCTGAGTAGGTCCTGAGGGATTATTGACGATGGCTATCATGGTGTCACCCTCCCCTCAAATTTCTTATTACTTTGGGACATCCCACATAGTCATAAATACCCTGCTCTGTGTCCCGTGATTTACGATAAAGAAAATTGGATTTTTTTTTCTACTTGCTTATCTGTAAAATCCATTTCTTGGAGTATATCACAGGACACCGAGGTCCCACCCCTCTTTCTGCAATGTCATTGTTTGCTACAAAAACGGCGGTACTTCCTGTATAGGAGGGGTTATATATGAGGAGGGGGCCTCCTCTCTGATTGGTCGGCCAGTGTCCATTCACCTATAGGTGGCCTATAACCCACATAATCATGATTAGCCTGCTCTGTGTCCCGTGATGTACTCCAAGAAATGGATTTTTACAGGTAATATTTAGAAAAATCCAATTTTTTTGGGCCCATTTTGCCTGAGGAAAAGAAACTGCCTAATAATTATGCACACCCTGATATAGGGTGTTGATCTCCTTAGGCCACACCCTCCCAAATTGCAAAAATACACATCACCTGATATATTTAAATCCAATAAGCATTCAAGTGTATACAGCTTTGAGTGGGACAATATGCAGAAAAATGATGATTTGGTTGATAAACTTGCCTAATAATTGTGCACACAGTGTATGTAATTGCCACAATGTTGGTCCTTTTATTTGTAAGTATTTTAATAGCATAATACAGATAAAATGTATGAACGTGTAGTTTGCAACATTGTATTACCCCATGGGTACCCTTATGTATGCTACCCCAACATTTCATATTCCTGATGTGTGTCTCTTGTAACATGTACTTTTGTTAAATTACCTTTTTTCTTTGTGTATCTTCCTTTATGTGCAATACCTGGTGATCCTGCCAACCCCCCTGCTTTTTTATGCCAGACTGACCACGCTAGGCATAGAAGCATATCCATCCCAGCGTGGTCCGTTTTCTGGCTGTTCTGGCAGCTCAGCCAGCCTGTCTTTCAATGGCCAAGACTTTTTCTGATGCCCCTCTGCACCTCTTCACTGGGAAGATCAGGCTATTGCTCTTTCTGTGCTGACCCCCCCCCCCCCCCCCCAGCACAGTCTCTACTCCCTCTTTCCAAGTGTGTGTGTGTACAAAATATGTGTAAATTGCTGCGTAAAATGACCGCGCTATAGAAGTACTTGTGTAATAAATTAGGTTTGCACGGATACCATATTTTTTTTTTAAGAACGAGTACTGATACTTTTTTTCAGGTGCCCAATACCAGTTACTGTTACCTATTTTTTTGTGCGGTGTGATTTGAGCCCACACAAAATAAATGAGCTCAAATCGCACTGCAAAGAATCGCATGTGATTTGAACAGGAATGTAGTAAAATTCCTGTCTGAATCACATGCGGTTCCCACACCTCTCCTGTGTGAACCCGCGGGAGAGGGGGTCATTTTTGTATGGGCTCAAATGACACCGCACCACGCAAAAAAAGTATCTGTTTCAGTATTGGAGCATTTGCACGAGTACAAGTGCTCATGCAAATGCTTAGTATTGGCACCAATGTGCTGGTATTGGTGCAACTCTAAAATAAATATAGATACATATATATATGTATATACACAAATGGACATGATAGACAATGTATACTTTTTAGAATGTGGACTATGAAAAAAAATCTGTATTCTGTCACTAATGTACGCAATATAATGGGAGTTTTTTTCTTTTGATGTGCAGATTGAAATGTCCATATGACACTGCAGTGGAATTGGCAGCTTGGTGCTTGCAAGGTGAGTAGATTCATGTAATTGATTACTAAATTTGTGTTCTCACCCAGCAAGAAAACACCAATGGGGCTTAAGTAAATGAAAAACTTTAATGAAAGCTCATTTTCGTGGAGATAAACTTTTTAAATTGGTTATATTTTATTAAAAACATGTATTTCCTCAAAGTATTCA